TTTATTTTCAAAAATCAGCTACATGTTATTAATTGACCTTAGATTTTTATTAGAATTAACATCTTTTATAAACGAAAAGATATAATTAGAAATATATTAAATTATCATCAAATTTCTAACTTAATTGAAATTTTTTATAATTTAACCTTGATTGATGTTAAATCCAATAATTCAAGCAAATGATAATATTATCATAATGGAGTTCAATTATAATATTTTTTAACCAAACATAACTATTATTTTGTATGTCAATGTGTATTTTAATCAGTCTATTATTAAAAGTATTTGATTAATTTGAATCAACAAAAAATTTAAAAGCCTTAAGATAAGAGAATATGAACATCAACTTTTTGATTTACAAAAAGTATATTTTAATTAAGCTTTGAAATATAGATGCCAATCATTATCAAAAAGCAATGAAACTAGGAAGGCTGTTTTAAGAAAAAAATGCTATTCATATTTCATACTAACACTATATAGGATTAAAATAAATTGTACTAAATATTAAATTTAAATCCTTAATGGAGTTTTACATTTTGTTAGATAAACAAAAAAAAAGTAATAAAATTAGAAACCTCATTTATAAAATATTTCATATGATGAGTATTTTTTATATTCATTATCCCAAAATACTAAATACTACCCGGTTATAGCTCCATAAGATTCATGAGTTTAACAATTAAATGATGTAAGAATGTTAAATGTGTCATCGTTTAATTGTCTCATCAAATAGATATGATGTTTGTGACTTATCAATATCAAATTTCTATCTTTATTATGTAGAATTGGAAAAAAGAAATAATCATAACATTGATCATTGTTAATTAAAGTGATAGTTTTATTTGAATTCTATTTAAAGACTCAATTCTATAATTCAAATACTAAAATATCATTTATTTACTTATCTTTAGTTACCAAAATAAATTATTTATCATTTATGAAATGAATTTTATATCCTGCTTAAACTTGTTATTTATATCTTAATTCCCATTTTCCTTATAATCCTTTCACCCATATTATATATTCAGATAGCCACATGATGCCAATAAAGTTTCAGATTAATTAAAACTGAGTGAAAAAACACTATGACTATGATTATCTAGAGAATACAGATAAGTCAGATGATTCTTTATAAAATCTACTTACTATACTATTATTTTGTGATCATTCCCTCCTGAAATAAGTTGATCCTCCTATATATTTAATATTAAACAATTAACACAACCACTATATTATTCAAATGGTTATGAGCATTACCATACATTTTGATTAATTTATTGCCAAAAGATAATTTTATAATAAGAACAACCAGAAATAAAGTTATATGTCTTTTTGCTATAAACCAAACAATAAATAGGATTAGTATGTCTTCTATAAGAATTAGATAATTTAAATCTTCCTTATTCAAAATTCAAAATTTGAATTATATTAGAATTAGCTGTAATTATAATTAATCCATCTTTATTGAACACCATAGCTTAACACCATGAACTCTATTAATTTGAATCATCAATTAATTAAAATTGAACTTATTTATACATCATCAATCATTATTCTAATTACTTCTATTCATTCTCAACTTAAATCACATCCTTTTATTTCTACATAATAATTTAATACATTTTACTTTATTTAATATTTATTCTTAAATATTTTCTTTTGTTCCTTATATATTTTTTAGCTTTTTTAATATTTCTTCGCATTTTTGGCTATATTAAAATGATTAAAATGAGTTTAATTTCTTTTCACTTTTTTGATTACATGATATGTTAATTTAATTAATTTGATCAATTAATGGTTGGAGATTAAATTAATCCAACTTTTTGTCGATAATTAATTTTTCCAATTCTTCATAATAACTATAAGTAACATTTTATTATCCAATCGTTAATACATATTTGATCGATTCATCTACATTTCCAATTAATTAATCTAGTTATTGAACAAAATTAAATTTTAATTAATATAGATTTTTTTAGAGTTCTTCAATCAGTTTGATGCTTATCATTATCACATCCTCTACAGATTCTTTCTTTTATTTTTGATTATTTTGGATAATTTATAAGGCTTTCTTTAAAACTCATTCCTCTTTAAGTTTTTCTCACATGAAACCATTTAGATAGGAAGTTTATGTTGTAAAGAACAAAGAAGTTCTTCTTCTTTTTCTATTATTTTACATTAAATCATTTTAGTTAATATTTAATTAAAAATAGGAATTTAAAAATAAACATAGCAATAGAAACTTAAATTGAAGTCATCCTTATAAAATACTAATAAATTAGTTATAAACTGGAAAT